TTGCTGGTGAACACCTGGCCTGTCTTTGGGTGAATCTTGAAGCGTCCTTTCCCTTTGCCTGTCTTTATGCTGTAGTCCAAATCAGCATTCATGCCTACGTCAATGTCCTTGGCGAATACCTTGTCGAGTAAGAGATCAAAAATATATTATATGCCATAACTATTCATAAGAAAACAAGGGGCTGCTTACATCATGATATAAGGAAATTATGACAAACAGGTTAGTAAACATTTGACTACGCAAATTTCAAAGCGAGATGTTCCGCTGTTTCGCTCATGTTGCTAAATACCAGACCGCGATCAGTATTCTTCTTTTTACTCCTTCTCTGATAAGGAATTGTTATATATTGGGATAATCATCATCTGCCGATTATTTGGAGAGTTACGTTTATGCTTAATAGGATAATAACTCTTAACATCATGCAATCTCTGACATGTCATGTCCCAGTTATTACAAAAGCAGAGTGGGCATTTAAATCAAATCATGCTGGTTATAAGAACTAATTCACACGTCATGCACTGTTTTACAGGTGATTCTTAAACACACCCGTTTGTCGGAAAAAAATGTTCCATGCAAATTAAATATCTAGTATGTTTGGAATATTTCATGAACCTCTTATTCATTCGTGAACTTGTCATGGACATCTGTCCTCGGGGTTTACACCCATATGGCCGTGGTGTGTTATTTTACCTTTTTTTACGATTCATAGGTATAAAGGCTACGTTGCTAAATTTACTGTACTGACCAAATTCATGACCAATAATGCACTTCAAATTAACGTATGCCTAACATTTACCGAATTTTAGTAGAGACAAACTCTTTTTTTTTTTATATATATATAAAAGAAACTCATACAAAACACAAAACATGCGACGTGAAAGCGGTGAGCGTTACCGCACATGCCAGTCCGTTCTCCTTGCAGCAACCCGTCCGATGACCTTCCCTCTTCGCTGCTTTCAGTAAATGCTCATGTTAATCGCTTAACATGCACAGACCTATCACTTTCCTTTGACTTACTAAGTACTTAATGGAAAAAAGAGACACAAGAGGACTGATCAATATGTGTGTTATCAGCATTTTATTGTGAAACTGAAATCACCCTCGGTATCTAGACTGAGAATGCTTTCCAGGTACGAGAAGTGAAAGGATATGGATAACCGCATACAGCACACCGAGGAAGAAAACAAGTAAACAAGCTAATGAGCAGGTCCTTTGGAGACTAACAGCCAAGCGCCGCTTCATACTGACCTGGCGCGCATGAAGTGGACTGCCTGCCGAAGGACTTACCTGTTACTCAGTGGAGGTAACCCAAGACACAGAAGTATGCGTAAACGGACACATTGCAGTACAACAAATGCATGCAGAGGTCCTGATAACTTACAATTATTTTTTTCTATTGTTCCATGTCTCCGTTTACTTTTAAGTGATTAATACTCCACTTGGAATGTGGACGAATAAAACTACTCTCAATCATGCTCTATTACTCATTCCTACGAGAAGCATGGTTATAATTTATTTTTGTGGTTAACAGGCGGCTGCTGTAAATGATGGTGGTCGAGGTGGTAGCTTTAGTTGTAGAAGGGGGAGCTGGTGCTAGCAGAAGGGCAATTCGTTTGACATAACAAAATTCAAAATGACGGTGATAGTGATGATGACAGTAATAATAATAATCCTGGGGAAAAAACAATAAAACAGAGACTAAAAAAATGTGTAACGGGAATACAACATTTTACAAAACAGCAATAATAACAATAACAACAAACACAAAAATACCACATGCGCGCATATTAATACTGATATTCATGATGTTAATGTTAAACAACAGCACTGCAGATAACATTGACAGTAATGCCGGAATAGTAAATTCATAGTAACCCATAAAACAATAATACAGGCAAAGAGAACAATGAATGAAAATAAAGTCAAAATAACATCAATGAAAATACCAATAAAATGATGATGATAATAACAATAGTAAAAATAGAATCATAATACCAATAATGATGATGTAAAAACAATGATATAAAATAACATTAATAATAATAATAATAATAATAATATAATGATAATAAAATTTGCAATAATAACAATAATGATAATAACTACAAGAATAATAACAAGAACAGTAATAATAATAATAATAATAATAATAATAATAATGACAATAATAATGATAATAATATAATTATAACAATAATACAATAATTATGATGATAATCATAATAACAATGCTAATAATAATAATAATAATAATAATAATGATAATGACAATAATAATAATGATAATAATAATAATAATAACAGCAACAAAACATCAACGAAATAATCATAATAATAATAATAATAATAATAATAGAATAATAATAGCAATGGTAATAATACTAATACCAATACTAATATTGATATTAATACTAAGACTACTTATAATAGAATAGTAATAGCAATAGTAACAATAATAATAAAATTATGATGATAAGAATAATAATAATGATAATAACAA